GTAGGGGTGGCAGGAGGGGAAGGGGAGAGATCAGGTTACAGTCTGGAATCTGGAAAGAATCCATATATAGATTGTGTTTAAAACTATAGGAAGAGATGTAGATAGAGACTAGGCTGGAGCTCATCAGTGGGTTAGGAAGGCAGAGTCACTGAGATCAAAGGACAGAAGTGTGTGTTTCCAGAAGAAGCACATACAACTATGTACGGTACACATTACTTGATAGTGTGATAAATGACTGTTACTGTTTTAGGTACTCATCATAACATGCTGTGGTTTTCATCCTTTAGAGCATAATCCTACTGATATAAAAGAGTTTACTGGAAAACAGTGTCCTGCTATGCCAGTGGTAGCCTCATGTATCTCGTGTTTAACTGCGCATTTGGATAACATCAAGGGGCCATCACAGGTGACTGACGTATACCTTCTCAGTTTGCACTTAGAAGCTGGCACTCTGTGTGGTACTTTGTGATACACATGGATGAAATTGCCTAAAACCATATTTCTCAGATTATATTTCCATCACGTGTCACATGACTGTATTGAAATTTAAATTTTAAAAAAATTGGCCTATGTGGAGTCTACTAGTTAATTAGAATTTTTTTCAGACCACTATTTGTTCAAAATTAGTTTTGAAAATCTTTCTAAAACAAATCACATCCTTTGATGTCTTCTTAATGCTTGAGATTTTCTTTTAATTATATGGAAAAATGTTTACGCACTTTTCAGTTTTGCTTTGGTTGAGTCCTATTATATTTAAATATTATTATAGTTTTTTCCCTTGCATTACTTTTCTTTGAATAATTTTAATTTTTGTATATGTGTATGTTTAGTGAATGATAATAAAGTTATACATTTAAAAAAAGAAACAGAAAGTTAAATCCAACATCTGGGTGCCTTGGCAGTTGAAGTCTACCTGGCTTGTCTCTTGGGCTGGCTCCCCTCATTGCCTGCAGCTTTCCTCAGCATGCATTCCACATTCTTGGCATATCCAATTTCCCAAGGTCTCCATGGCATCTTCAGCTTAACTCTAAGGGCTTCATGCACTGCCCTCTCAGGCGCACATTGCCTGGCCTTCCGGACATTCTTTTGAAACCTGTGTGAAAGCCTCTATAATTCCACAACTTTTGTATTCTTTATGCCTATAAAACCACCGCCACATGGATGATACTAGGTTCTACTGCCAGCTCAAGCAGTAGCCAGGCCTCCTTGGATCATGGTTGCAATGACCTCAGAGTGCCTGGATGGCTGAGCATTGTGAACCAAACCCCAGGGAACCAATTCCTTAGGTGGCCCTTCTCAGTCAGGGGTCCCAAGGACTCTCTTCTCAAATGAAAGGTTTACACCTTTGAGCCTGTGATGGGTGGGGTCTAGCTGATTCTTGAGATGCTTTTGAGCATCTTTCTTATTGTCCTAATACAAAGTACTTGGCTTCTTTTTAATGCTAATCTTTTCAGTAATTACTTTCTCCATGGCCCCAACTTTTTTGTTGTTGTTGTTTTATTTTATTAGTACATGTTTGCAGCACATGCAGTTTACAATCAATCATCTTGGGGAGTGGGCATATGTACATACTACACCTTATTTCTTGTTTTAAATCCCCCTTTCCTTCCCTTCCCCTTACCCCTGTCTAATTCCCTTATCCCAATTTTCATTCTTGTTGCCACTGTATTATTAATCTTAGTTCATGTTATGAAATATAATGTTTACATTCATTTGGATTATTAGCTTCCTGTACATGGCATATTTTCGTTCTACTTATCTTCCCTTCCCCTCCTCCTCACCCCTTGCCCTTGTTCCCTTGGACAACTTCCCTACTGCAAGAGACCCGTATCCTTGTTCCTTTCTATGCATCCTTCATTATTCTCTTTGTTTATACTTTGCCTCACTCAAATGAGAGATATCATACAATATTTAAGCTTGTGTGTCTGTTTTGTTTTACTCAACATTATATTTTCCAAGTGTATCCATTTTCCAAATCCCCAGCTTTGCAGGTGCTTCCTCTCTGGTGGAACAGCAAACTTTTTACATCTGCTTTTTGGTCCTGATTCTCACTGTAGATCTGGCAAAAAGCAGTCCACAGTACCTATACCACAGCCCAAACATTGGGCTTCCTTGAAATTTCCTCCACCAAATCAATTACCCTTGGTCTCCTGCAAAGTCACAGGACATAGGCAAAGTGAAGAAAAATTTTCTCCCAGGGTGTAATACACATGGGCTCCAGTCAAACTACTTATGAAGTGCTTACTCCCAACTGAAACCTGGTCTTTACTCTCCATGTTCTTATCAGCATTCTGCTCTTCTGACTTCTAACCAAAATCACTCATCAGGCTCTATTTACAACATTCTAAGGCTTCTCCAGCCTGCATCTTCAAACTTTTCCATACTCTTCTCAAAAACCAGTTCCAAAGGTTTATGAACCATGTGATCAGGCACAGACACTACAGCAACCCTACCTGTGGTATCAATTTTTATATTTGTCACTTTATTGTCACTGGTACACAATACCCAACACCCAAAATTTAATGGAGGAGGGATTTATTCATGGTTCAGAGCCTGACTGACTGGCTCCAATGCAGAAACAGCATGGTCGGAGGGCATGCTGGAGCAAAACTGCTCAAACATGGCAGCCAGAAAGCAGAAAGAGAAGGGAGGAGCTGGAGGCAAAGATACACCCTTCCAGGTCAGACTTCTAGTGACCTACCTCCAGCCAGGCCCAACTTTCTAACAGTACACTCCACTACTGAACTTATCAATGGATGAATCCTCTGAGGAGTACAGTGCTCCCATGATCCAATTATCTTCCAAATACATGAGACTTTGGGAGGGAACATTTCAGATCTAAACCATAACATTCTCTCTGCTTCCTGGCTAACATGTGATGAACAGGCCTCTACCACTAAATGCTCCTGTCATGTCATACACAGACCGAAGCAACAAGGCCAAATGACCAGGGACTGAAACTTCTGAAATTG